AGGGATCTTCTGTAGCTAAGGCAAAAAAAAGAAAGTGTATGCCCAGTGGAAGCAAGGTCAGGTGATATGGGAGGAATATTGGGATGCTGCTTGCCACTGTAGGGAGAAAATTTGTGTGGCCAAAGCTCAATTGGAGTTGAAACTGGCCAGTACTATGGGGGACAATAAAAAGAGGGTTTTTAAAATACGTTAAATAGCAAAAGGTAGTGCAGAAATAACATTGACCCATTACAGAATGAGGATGGTCACCTCACAAACAGGGACAAAGCAAAGAGGTTTAATGCTTTCTCTGCTTCTGTCTTCAACACGGATGATGGGCTTGGGGGGTCCCAGTGCCCTGAGCTGGAGGACCATGACTGCAAGAATGATCAACTCCCAGTTGACCCTGAACTTGTGTGGGATCTGCTGCTCCAGCTGGATCCCTATAAGTCTATGGAGCCTGGTGGGATTCATCCCAGGCTACCCAAAGAGCTGGCTGATGTCATCATGACACCTCTCTCAAAGATTTCTAAACTGTCTTGGGAATCTGGAAAGGTCCAAGTGGACTGGAAGCTGGTTAACATCCCTCTTTTCAAGAAGGGCAAGAAGGAGGACCCTGGAAATTACAGGCCTGTCAGTCTCACTTCAGTGTCTGGTAAAATTATGGAGAAGATTGTTCTGGAAGCTACTGAAAAACACCTGAAAGATAACACCATCATCGGTCACAGCCAGCATGGTTTCATGAGAGGAAAGTCCTGCTTATCAAACCTGATTTCCTTCTATAACAAGGTAACCCACCTAGTTGATCAAGGCAAGCCAGTTGATGGTAATCTTTTTGGATTTCAGTAAGGCTTTTGATACTGTCTCTTACAGGATCCTTCTGGACAAAATGTCCAGCACACAGATGGATAAACACATCATGTGGTGGGTGAGTAACTGGCTCGCAGGTCAGGCACAAAGGGTTATAGTAAATGGGGTATCATCAGGTCAGCTGGTCACTAGTGGAGTTCTTCAGGGCTCCATTTTAGGGCCTGTTCTCTTCAACATCTTCATAAATGACTTGGATGCAGGACTCAAAGGTATACTAAGTAAATTTGCTGATGATACTAAATTGGGAGGAGCTGATTACTCCCTTGAAAGCAGAGAAGCTCTGCAGAAAGACCTTGAAAAATGAGAGGGTTGGGCAATCACCAACCATATGAAGTTCAACAAGGGAAAGTGCCAGATTCTGTACCTGGGATGGGGCAACCCTGGACATAAGGACAGACTGGGGAATGAGAGGCTAGAGACCAGTGCTGTGGAAAGGGACCTGGGGGTCCTGGTGGACAGCAAGTTGAATATGAGTCAGCAGTGTGCCCTGGAAGTTGGGGGGCCAACTGTGTCCTGGGGTGCATCAGACAAAGCATTGCCAGCAGGTTGAGGGAGGTGATTGTCCTGCTCTGCTCTGCACTGGTGATGCCTCACCTTGAATATTGTGTACAGTTTTGGTCACTGCAATATAAGAAAGATATAAAGCTATTAGAGAGCATCCAAAGGAGGGCAATGAAGATGGTGATGGGCCTTGAGGGGAAGCCATATGAGGAGTGGCTGAGGTCACTTGGTCTGTTCAGCCTGGAGGAGAGGAGGCTGAGGGAAGACCTCATTGCAGTCTACAACTTCCTCATGAGGAGAAGTGGAGGGACAGGCACTGATATCTTCTCTGTGGTGACCAGTGACAGGACCTAAGGAAATGGCTTGAAGCTGTGTCAGGGGAGGTTTAGGTTGGATATTAGGAAAAGGTTCTTTACTTAGAGGGTGGTTGGGCACTGGAACAGGTTCCCCAGGTGTAACAGACAGATAACATAGAAATGCAAAAAAAAAAAAATGTTTCGCCATTGTTTCTGCCTGTCAAAAAACTTCCTACCAAAAATTGTCTGACAGCTTTCTACCAGAAGTTCTCACCAGAGCTTCCTGCTGGAGTTTTCCTGTCAAAAGATCCTGTTATTGTTCATGGTTATCATATCTCTTCAAACATCTGAATAGGGCTATGTGCCAAGAAATCACATACAACCGCCTTTGAACACTATAAAAGTTGAGGAAAAATTTGAGAAAGGTAGGGAAAGAGGAGTGGGAAAGACAATTGGCTACTGCAGCCGAGAGTCTCTCCCCACCTCACCCTCCCCTTTTCTCCTGCCACCATATGCTGCCTGCCTGCCACCGGCGACTGGAACCCTGCCGGACCGGAGAGGTCTGTATGCTGCCTGTTTGCCACCGAAGAACTGGAAGTCTGCCGGTCCAGAGAGGACTGAGACCCACCATGCGACATGTGTGAGTTATATCTACCCTTACCATAGTTCTGAGGGCCAAAAGGAGTAGTTGAACGGGACCCTGCACGGCCTGAGATACAGTTCGGTGTGAGCGGCGAAACCCACATCCTGGTTGCATTCTGGAGAGTTAAAGCTGCTAAGACCCCCCACACACACACCCACACACCCACACACCCACCCCCCATACATCCCGCAGTTCATAGAATCATAGAATCATAGAATAGATTGGGTTGGAAAAGACCTCCAAGATCATCAAGTCCAACCTCTGATCCAACTCCAATTACTATATCATGGCACTAAGGGCCACATCCAATCTCTTTTAAAAACCTCCAGGGATGGTGAATCCACCACCTCTCTGGGTAGGTCGTTCCAATGCCTGATAACCCTCTCTGTAAAGAATTTCTTCCTAACATCTAACCTAAACCTCCCCTGGTAGAGCTTGAGCCCATGTCCCCTTGTCCTATTGTTGGTTGCCTGGGAGAAGAGACCAACCCCCACCTGGCTATAACCTCCCTTCAGGTAGTTGAAGAGAGTGATGAGGTCGCCTCTAAGCCTTCTCTTCTCCAGACTAAACAACCCCAGCTCCCTCAGCCTCTCCTCATAGGACTTGTGCTCAAGTCCCTTCACCAGTCTCGTTGCTCTTCTCTGGACCCACTCCAGCACCTCAATATCCTTCCTGAACTGAGGGGCCCAGAGCTGAACACAATACTCAAGGTGTGGTCTCACCAATGCAGAGTACAGGGGAAGGATCACTTCCCTGCTCCTGCTGGCCACACTGTTTTTGATGCAGGCCAGGATGCCATTGGCCTTCTTGACCACCTGGGCACACTGCTGGCTCATGTTCAGCCTCCTGTCAATCAGCACTCCCAGGTCCCTTTCCGCCTTTCCCCCTCCAGCCACTCTGTGCCCAGCCTGTAGCGCTGCATGGGGTTGTTGTGGTCAAAGTGCAGGACCTGGCACTTGGTCTTGTTGAACTTCATTCCATTGGAGTCAGCCCATCTCTCCAGTCTATCCAGATCCCTCTGCAGAGCCCTCCTGCCTTCCGGCAGGTCGACACTCCCTCCCAACTTGGTGTCATCTGCAAATTTGCTGATGATGGACTCAATCCCCTCATCTAAATCATCGATAAAGATGTTAAAAAGGACTGGGCCCATCACTGACCCCTGGGGGACAACACTGGTGACCGGCCGCCAACTGGATGCAGCCCCGTTCACCACCACTCTCTGGGCCCGGTCCTCGAGCCAGTTCCTGACCCAGCACAGAGTGCCCCTGTCCAAGCCGTGGGCTGCCCGTTTTTCCAGGAGTATGCTATGGGAGACAGTGTCAAAGGCTTTGCTGAAGTCCAGATAGACCACATCCACAGCCTTTCCCTCATCCACCAGGTGGGTCACCTGATCGTAAAAGGAGATCAGGTTGGTCAAACAGGATCTGCCCCTCAGTTAAAGAGATAACATTGGAAAAAGCAGCAGAGACAGAGAAAAAAAAGGCAGAAAACAGCTTCTCCCCACACATACACATACAGATCAGCTAGTAGTTTTTGGTGGTATCTTTTCTCTGTTTCTAGAAGTAATCTTAGCATTTTCCACCTTTTCTTATTTTTTCCTCTTTCTTTTTGCATCTCTTAGCAATTAATAAAATCAGTTTTGGTATCAACAGATGACTTGCATGAGTTTTAATTTTGCTCAAGGGAATATTCGAATCTGAAGTTCTTTCTGCAACTTTTAAGCAGACCAGGGAAGTGGTCACAGCATCAAGCTTGCAAGAGTTCAAGAAGTGTTTGGACAACTCTCTCGGGCACATTATGTGATTCTTGGGGCTGTCCAGTGCAGGGCTGGGAGTTGGACTTCAATGATCCTTGTGGGTCCCTTCCAACTCAAGATATTCTATGATTCTATGATTCTATGAACTGACTGCAACCCCCATTCTCCATCCCCCTGTGCCGCTGTGGGGAGGAGGTAGAGTGAAGGGAGTGAAGTTGAGCCCAGGAAGAAAGGAGGGGTGAGGGTAAGGTGTTTAAAGATTTGGTTTATCCTCATTATCCTACTTTGATTAGATTAGTAATAAATTCAATAATTTCCCCAGTTGAGTCTGTTTTGTCCGTGATGGTAATCGGTGAGTGATCTCTCCCTGTCCTTATTTCAACATATGAGCCTTTCATTATATTTTCTCTCCCCAGTCTAGGTGAGGATGGGAGTGTCAGAGTGGCTTTGGTGGACACCTGGCATCCAACCAGTGTCAACTTGTCATGGTGGGACACCAATCATGAGTTAGAATGATAGTCTTTCAGAAATCAATGTGCACATGATTTACTGAAAAACATTTCAACATTTTTTCTGTCTTTCTATACAGTACACAAAAGTTTTTCTAACAAATAAATGAAGCTTCAATTCTGCGAACACAGACATACAATACTTTTTCCACACACAGAGCTACTACTTTGTTAGGAGTACACATGAGAATCACATTATCTACAATGTTCAAATGTAGAACAAGGGAGAACTACTTACCTCTGCAAAGGAAAGAATTAAACCTGAGTAGATTACTATAAAAACATTTATATTATTTCCTTAAAATTTTTAGTTAGAAACATTTTAAATAGCTGCAATGTTTTAATATTCATGGCACTCCTCTAAACTTCTGTTATAAAACCATTTTTTTGTTACACATCAGCTAGTTTTTATATAAGACAAGGTTTCAAGCTGGGAATATACTTACATAGACTCAATATCTTTTTCTTTTTTCATTATTCCTGAAAAACCAAAAGGCTTCCTCTTTCGTGGTTTTATCCCTGTGAAACAAACACTTTTCATTTAAAGATCAAAGAAATGAGTATATATGTCAGACACCGGTGCATACCAATGCCAATACCTTTTAAATGCCGCCATGACAAGTGATACAAAAATCTAACAGTGGAGGTAGGTATGGAGTTAAACTAAATGAACAGAAGAATAAACTAAGGGAACATTATTCCAATATGTTGTTCAGTAACATAATGTACCACTTTGGGATGGGACAGAGTTATTTTCTTCACAGTAGTTTGTATGGGGCTGTGTTTTGGATTTGTGCTGAGAGCAGGGTTGATAACACAGGGATGTTTTCGTTATTGCTGAGCAGTGTTGGCACAGAGTTAAGACTTTTTCTGCTACTCACACCACTCCACCAGTGAGTAGGTTGGGGGTGCACAAGAATATGGGAGGGGACACAGTGGGGACAGCTGACCCCAACTGATCAAAGAGATATTTCAGACCATATGACATCATGCTCAGTATATAAAGCTGAGGGAAGGAGGAGGTAGGGGGGACGTTAAGAGTGATGGTGTTTGTCTTCTCACTGTTATGCATGATGGGGCCCTGCTTTCCTGGAGATGGCTGAACACTTTCCTGCCCATGGGAAGTGGTAAATTAATTCCTCGTTTTGCTTTGCTTGTGCACATGGTTTTTGCTTTCCCTATTAAACTATCTTGATCTCAACCCACAAGTTTTCTCACTTTTACCCTTCTGATTCTCTTCCCGATCCCACTGGAGGAGAGACAGCAAGCGGCTGTGTGGGGCTGAGTTGCCTACCAAAAACACATCGGCTTCATAAGAAAAAAAAAAGATATGGTTCACACAACACATTAATAACATAAACCTTTATAAAACTCATCTCTGTTTTACATCCAACTCTCCAAGCTGGGTATGCTAGACTGTCACTTATTTTATAGAAGATTTGAGGAAAGGGACTCCGCTCACAGAAACTCAACAGGAGCTATTGATCCAACCAATCTTGAATAGTCAATGCACTTAGGTCAGAAACTGAACTCAGCTACTGCAGTTCAGTACCCTGTTCTTATTTCCTTGCATGTTCCTGATACCTGCAAGCCCCTGTCTATCCTAAAAAGTAGCATCTTGGTCCTGTAAAAACTAACATCTCTTGGCTTCCCAGTTGATGCTGACTTCATGATTTCCCAATGCTGTAGCCAACTCTAATGCTGTATCCCTCTGAGTCTAGAACCACACCTTCTCTTTGTCTTTTCTTCCCTGGTTTTAGCACTGGATATATATAGCTTCAGTAAAGAAAAAAAGTTTGCTTTCATACCCATTTAATGCACAACAATTAAAATACATTTAAATATTCCATCAGACTTACTGCCATGTCTGATTCTTTCCCCATTTTTTGCTGAATCAAAGTAGACTGCCAAACTTGAAACAAAATGACCAAGTGCAAGCATCTGATCCAACTAGTCTACAGTTTTATTTTGATGTAAGATACTACCTACAGCAAGACTTTAGGCAAAATGGTGGAAATAATTTGGTTTCTATAATTTAACAACTGACAATTTGAGCACATAATTAAAAAAACCCTCAGTATTCCCATTTACAGAAATACATTACACAGCACATAAGGAATCTCTTTACTTTTAGAAATATTCAGTGTGAAATAAATCAAAACTTCTCACAAATCAGGTAACTATAAACTCAGTCATATCTTATAGTTTAATAGAGACAGAAATAGCTTCAAAATTATTTTTAAATGCTAACCTGGGATTTAGTTCCTTTCTGTGCTCCATCCAGACCAAAACAATGACAAATGGATAGTGAGAGTAGTTTCTTAACATCTATCGCCTTTGCTTCAGTCAGAAGGTTTATCATAGAATCCCAGAATGGTTTGGGTTGGAAGGGACCTTAAAGATCATCTCGTTCCAACCCTCCTGCCATGGGCAGGGACACCTTCCACTAGACCAGGTTGCACCAAGCCCCATCCAACCTGGTCTTGAACACTTCCAGGGATGGGGCAGTCACAGCTTTCCTGGGCAACCTGTTTCAGTACCTGACCATTCTCACAGTAAAGAAATACTTCCTCATAGCTAATCTAAACCTACCCGCATAAAGTATTTTAGGTCTCATTTCCATAGAAGTTTGTTTCTCAAAAAAAACCAGCTTTTTGGCCTATTGGAATACAGAAATTAAAATGTGAATATTCTTCTCTCCTCAGGTTCAGGTCCTATCCACAGGATTCTTAGGTAAATAACTATGCTACAGCAACTCACCTTCAACTGCATTGGATGTGTTACATTCCTCAAATTCAATAGGGCCTTAAAGAAATAAAAATAAAGATAAACATTAGGTTGAATTTAATCTCAAATGAAGGTTAAACCCTAAGATATTTTAACAACTATTAATATTTTCTGAAAATACTAAACAATATAAATAAAAATTTAGGTGGCAGTTGAAAACCACAATTTCTCTGCCAATGGTCAGACTGCAAAATCATACATGTACAGTGAATCATTAAATATTTTCACTCTTTCATATTGAAAAAATTAAAATACTAGTGCACACTGTCTAAATGCAATTTAATTTCCTATATTATTATAACCACATGAAAAATTTCTGATTTATTTCCTCTTCTCATTCAAAATTGCATCTATAATATAGTGTAAGGCTTTTAACTTGTCTTCTTTTAATGAACAAGAACTATGTAAAAAAAATCAAAAAGATAAAAGCATGACAGAAAGTATGTGGGAGACTGGTTACCCAGGACATGGAGGTACTGAACTGAGGTACTGAACGACTTTTTTGCCTTGGTCTTCACAAACAAGTGCTCCAGCCACACCGCCTGAGGTACAGAAGGTGAAGGGCAGGGATTGGAAAAATGAAGAACTACTAGTTGTAGGAGAAGACCATGTCTGAGACCCACAGTTGGACTTGATGATCTTAAAAGTCTTTTCCAACCTTAACAATTCTGATTCTATGAAAAGTAGCGTGGCCAGCAGGTTGAGGGAAGTGATTCTTCCCCTCTACTCTGCTCTGGTGAGACCCCAACTGGTTTACTGCATCCAGTTCTGGGGCCCCCAACACAAGAAAGATGTAGACCTGTTGGAGCGAGTCCAGAGGAGGTCCAGGATGATCAGAGAGCTGGATTACCTCTCCTATGAAGACAGGCTGAGAGAGTTGGGCCTGTTCAACCTGAAGAAGAGAAGGTTCCAGGGAGACCTTAGAGCAACCTTCCAGTACTTAAAGGAGGCCTACAAGAAGGCTGGAGAGGAACTTTTTGCAAGGGCATGTAGTGATAGGACAAGGGGGAATGGTTTTAAACTGAAAGAGGATAGGTTTAGATTGGATATTAGGAAGAAATTCTTTACTGTGAGGGTGGAGAGGCACTGGCTGGAACAGGTTGCCCAGAGAAGCTGAGGGAACCCTGAGCAATCTGGTCTAGTGGAAGGTGTCCCTGCCCATGGCAGGAGGGTTGAAACAGGATGAACTTTAAGGTTCCTTCCAACCCAAACCATTTTGTGATTATATCATTCTATAACTATAGCCCTAATTTTGAGATTCATGTTTTTTCTAACTGTTTCCTCTTCATAGCCAATTATCTGGACAGCTAAAAATTATGTGCAGAATCTTAAACATAGCAATAAAGAAGATAAAAAGCTTTTAAAAAATCTTTAAGACTACACAGGACAAAAAAGTTGAGAGCACTGGTTAAGTGCCCTATCTAAATAAATTTGTCATTATGGTTTCCCATTATAGTTGTGTGACAGATGCACTCAACCCCTTAACTGAACTAGGAGTAGTTTGGTGTGAGGGAACACGATTCAGGATGGGAACAGTTCCCGGCATTCCCCTTTTGCCTGTGCCCTATTCTGATTTGCTCCCCCGTTTGTCTGTCTGATACACCACCCTATGTTCTGCCCCTTTTGTTCCCTGGCAGGACGGATAAGAATCGGGCGCACGCCTGAATAAAGAACTTTGCTTGCACCCTTCCTCGTGTCCTGTCCCCCCTTCGGACCGCGACAAATGGCACCCAGCGTCGGGCAGAAAAGGTTTTTACCTTAAGAAAACCTCCCCCACGCCACAAAGGCTCAGACGGCGCAGAGAGAAGCGTTTTCGTCTCGCTGGTCCTTCCCGGTAGAACCCCAGATTACGGCAAGATGACCACGGCACCGAGAAAGGTGAGCTCTGGGAAAAACCTCTAATCCCATCTCTCACCCTCAAAAAATCAACTTTAAAACCAACTGCAGACCAACAGAAGCCTAAGTAATTTCGCAATGGGCCTCTCGCTATCTATCCCTCAAAAGTTTGTATACCGCAAGCTTAAAGACTTTATTTTGGAAAATGGACACCCCTTAGACAAAAAATCCGCAAAAACCCTTGCTAAATGGCTTGAAAACGGAGGGGAAACTGTCTCCGACAGCATGTCTCTAAAGGACTGGGAGAAAATTGGATATAAGATCTGGAAAGCGAAAGAGAGGGGAGACAAAGTTGCTATTGAACCACTGATTGCCTGGAGGTTACTTCTGATGACTCTACAACATCAAATAACCGATTCCAATGAAAATCTCCAAGAATCTGAGCAAAAATCCAAGCCCCCATCCCCGAAAAAGGGCAAGTCCCGGGAATTCGGGAGTTGCGGGGGGTGGGGGGGTGGGGGGGGGCGGGAGACCACGGACGGCGGGAGGAAGAAACAAATCACGGAATACCAGGGGTTTTTGTATCATGGCGTCGGTGAGCTAAGCGGCTGCGCGGGTGAAACCGAGGAGAGTGGGGAGCGAACGTGGGAGTGCACGCGGCGTGGAGAAACGGTATGCAAAGATTTTGCGCCTCTCCCTCCAGCACCTCCCCCCAACCCGCCCGTGGAAACTTGGTCGGTACCGCCTCCCAGCCCGCCCGTGGAAGCCCAGCCGGCACCACGTCCCCACCGCCCCCTGCGCCTGTCGCCGTCGGCACCGGCCCCCACGCACGGGGTTAGCATTCCTAGAAAGGAAAGAAAAAAACCCACAAACCCCCGGAGAGAGGGGTTCCTCCCTCAAGTTAACCCTCAGTGATTCAAATGGTTTAACTACTTGAATTTTACATTTCTCAGGTGGAATTTCAGTTTTTATTTTATTAAATGCTTGGGGTTTTTTTCTATTTTTTCTTTTTAGGGGAGTCTCCTCTGATTAGCACAGCAGCGGTCCCAGCTCCTTGCTCGCGCCCGGCCCGGAAAGGATCAGCTACCGGGGTCGGACGCCGCCACTGCCCCTCCCCCCTCTACTCTGCTATGGGAGCGAGGGCTGAGCGTGGAGGGTCAGCTCTACCCAGGCAGTTAAAAGCGAAGCATTGTTATTTAATTGCTTGTAATATACTGGCCGGATAAAAGAGTCAAAAAGGAAGTATCAAACCACCACGCCACTACCAAACAACACGTATGTATGTTAGTATTGTGGTTCTTAGGTTTAGTAAAAAGCCAGTATACACCACATCTTGTTTAAAACAATAGATTTGCTCATTATTTCCCAATTCCTTCAGTGAACAAAAAAGATCTGAGTCACAAGACCATATTTCTGAGAATGTTATGGTTTTACACCCTGCAATTCTTCCTGTAAGATTCTCTCTTTTATGCGCATTTCAAAACTCTGTTTGAAGTTTTCTAACACTTTGCACAGTGAGTGTGCATGTAATGAGCATGTAATGAGCATAATGAGCATGTAATGGGGGACACGTAGTAGGCATGTTGGGAAGTCTGTAAACCTGGAGGATCTCAGCCAATTGAGAAATGGGGAGGGACCTGTGTTTCGGGCAGAGGGGATAAAAGAGGCTGTGACCTCTATCAAGTTGAGAGACCTCATTGGGGATTGTCCAATGAACTCTCCCTTTTATTCAAATAAAAGTTTTAGCTAGCTCCTCTGTCTCTTGGCTATTTTTGAGTGTCTTAGTACCAGGATTATTTTTTGGAATAGAAAGAAGGAGAAAGAGCACACAAGGAAATGTGTAAGGGAAAGGAGAGAAAGAAAGAGAGAAAAGAATAAAATTTATAGTCACTACTCAAAGGTTTCCTTGAACTTGGTGTTTGTTGTAGTTGGTGTCTTGGTCCATCAGGGGGAGGTGAGGGAGAGAAGCCCATGGATCAAAATTTGGTGGGTTTATATACCCTGAGAAACCTTCCTGGTGCCACCTCCTGAGGGGAGGGGGGGGTCGCTTTTGCAGAGGCTGTAAGCCCTGGTTTTTGCAAAGTCATTTAGCCTTGGGGGGGGAGGAAGGGAAGGGGAGGCACTCCTGCTAAAAGCCAGACATTCTCTAGGGCAGTGATGGGTGTGTGCACAAAAGGCTCCTTTTGACACAGCCTGGCTCATAGGAGATAAGCATCACATCCCAGGACAGGCCACTGGTCTCCCTTAGATAAACATCACACACCTAAAAGAAGCATCACACCCCCAAGACTTTGTCCCTAGGGCCTCACAAATCTAAACATCTTGTGGGCTATGACCTCCTCCCTTCAGTCTTATCTTCAATCCCCTGGTAGGAGGCTTGCACAGCTTGCTCCAGTAGCAATGTTTTAAGGCAATTTAAAAAGTCCAGTTCCTCACAACACTTTCTTTTTAATGATACCTATTAACTTATTTTATGCTTCACCAAAATGAGCAGAGTTAATAGACAAGTCCCTTCTCACCACACACCCTCTCTCCTTCCCTCGAATCTACTAGCTGCCTTACTGAAAGAAAGATAAATAACAACCATGACAACAACTCTACATAAAAAAAAAAAGATGGGTCATTATCGTAGGACACTCCCTTCTGAAGGGAACAGAAGACACCATATGCAGATTGGACCCACTCCTTAGGGAAGTCTACTGCCTCCCTGGGGCCTGGTTCAAGATGTGAAGAGAAAGCTTCCTATCCTGGTACAGCCCTCAGATTATTATCCATTGTTGACTTTTAGGTAGGCAGTGATGAAGTCCTGCACCTTAGAGAGTGTTTTGCCTGTCTAGAGCTTGCCAGTGGTGATGAAAGGCTCCAGTGTTTATGGGTATGAATCAGAGGGAAGGCAAATAATGCAGATATCCTGGTGGGAGTCTGTTATAGACCACCCAACCAGGATGAGGAGGCAGATGAAATATTCTATAAGACGTTGGGAGGTCTCATGATCACTGGCCCTTGTTCTTGGGGGGGGATTTCAACTTGCCAGATATCTACTGGAAATACAACACAGCAGAAAGGAAACAGTCCAGAAGGTTCCAGGAGTGTGTGTAACATGATAACTTCCTGACACGGTGAGTGAGCCAACTAGGGAAGGTGCCCTGCTGGATCTGTTGTTTGTGAACACAGAAGGACTG